GGTGCTTGTTGCAGGCCTGATTCGAAGTTCGGGTGCGGTGAGGCCTAAAACTGATGGCCGCTTCACTCAAACTGAGCCATAAACAAAATACGTGCACTTTAGTTCCAGTCAGTACTTACGAGTCCAATGAGTTTGTTAGTGGGGCAATCAGAAACGGGCAGTTAGTTCACCAGTAGTGAAGACAGTCAGGGGTAAGAAAACAGTCAGGGGCGAGGAAACAGCCAGGGTCCATCCGGGCAGAAACCTCTCTCTCCCTCTCCTTTCAGAGCGTCCCTCGGCTTCTCTTGCAGATCACAAATAAGTAATATCAGGACCACGGGTAGTCGACCTCAATGATACACTTAGATGCAAAATCCACACCGCGTTTGCCTTACGACATCTCTCTCTTCGGACGTAGCTTCTGTGTCCGCTCCCACAGATTCACACAAACAATACCACTCGTCCCGCCCCCATAACAGAGAAGAGTGACATTGACTGGCTCGTCAGCACAACAACCAATGACAATACAATATTGAGATAACTGATATTAGATGGGTAAATAAACTTAGGTTACACCCCAACATATTTATTCTGCACAGAAAATGAACTCTAAATCATGAAACCGTTTTAATTATTGGACTCTTAACTGTAAATGAAATGCATTTGTACCAAACATATGATTTTTAAACTTTTTATCAACTATTTATATTTTCACCATTTTTTATAACAGTAGACTTTTTTCTTTATACTGCAAGCCCGAATAATTGCAGACAGGGCTACATATTGAAACTAATAATAGCAAGGATAACAACCTGTATACTGGTGTTAACAATGAAACATAGTTGGAATGACGACCATGTACAGAATGTATGGAATGAATGAAAGCAAATAATTCACACGAAAACCTTTTAAATAAAATAGAGAGATGCATAAGGTACATTAAGGCTGCGTCATTGTTCAGCCAAGGAAAGTGTGTGAAAAGGTAAATGTCTCCAGCTTGGGAAATGGTGAAACTGCAGATCACCCGAAGCCCTTGATGGATACAAAATAAAATATAAATAAAATATTATAATAAACTGCCTGGTTCGCCATGCAACAGAGAGAACGAATGTGACCGAAGGTTGGATCTGATATGAGGCAAACAGAAGACCGGTCTAAAAAGGTAGGCACAAACCTGTTCAGAGAAAAAGCAAATCTGTGCAGATTAGATGAATTCTAAATCATCTGTTTGCTCAGTACGATGAGCCTAACTATCAAATTGGCTCAGTAATAAAATATTGTAATATACTATTGCTGTTATATATAAAAAAAGATAATAACATTAATTATGACATAATATTAATATGAAGAGGCACCTCAGTCAGTTATGATGTGAGGTGGATAATTGTTAAGAAGTAGTCTGCATCAAGCTTAAGGTTGCTCAAACTCAGCAGAACGACATATGAGATGAAGATAACGAAGAAAATAAGTAAACTAATGAAGTGCATAGAGGCACTTGACCCGGTTGGAAACCTGTCATCCTAGATGAGACATTGCTGAGATATAGAGCAAACCTATAATAACAACCAATAAGCCAAACCCTGTAGACACCAGCTAAAGCTACGGGATTGAGAAGTTGAATTAAATATGTAGACTACCAAGTTAATGAGCAAGTTACACATTTTTATTTTTATTTCTTTAGAGCAGAGGCTGCATGATATTAAAAGCTCACACATGCAGCTGTCTGTGAGCTCAGTTTTGTCCTCACACTTCTGATTTGTTTCTGGCAGCATTTTTTTCTTTTCCTTTTTGTGTCCTGACTAAGGTGTGTAAAACGTTCATGCCATCAGCAATTTGTTTTTGTTTGATTATTTTGTTTGTTTGGAAACAAATTTGTGACCATACTTGTGGATCACAGTGACACATAGTGATTAGGCATATGATTTACAAATGCCTAGCTTTAGAGCTGTGAGCTATGAGCAATGCAAAGTTGTTGTTTTTTTAAAAATCCTAACTTAAAAGTTTTGAAATATGTAGGATGTGTGAGATGTGTGAATTCTTTGGAAAAAATAGAAATTATCTAAAATGCCTTGAGTGAAAATGTAGTGTTGCATCTATAGAGAAGAAAAGAAGAAGAAGCATAACTTAAAAATAGGCATTACAGACAAATACAGTTTTAGCATTGCCTGACTATGATAAGCATTTCTACTTACATGTAGATGGAGGAACAGGATGAAAGCAGTGTTAACACAGGCATTTGGAGAAAAACAACGCCCGCTCGCATTTTACTCGTGCAAATTAGACTCTGTTGCGTCAGGCCTGCCTGCATGTGCAAGCCTGTGCAGCCGCATCAGAGGCAGTAAAAAAAAAAAAAGTCAACTGACATTGTTTTAGGGCACACTCTGATCATCAGAGTACCCCACGCAGTGACTTCAATTTTACTCCAAGCCAATCTGTCTTACCTGACGCATGCAAGACAACTATCTTATGTTGGAATCTTACTGTCGCAATCACACATTACCATCCAGAAGTGTGGTCAATTGAACCCAAGCACACTTTTGGCCTCACCTGAAGAAGGTCATCCACACTCCGCTCAGAGTGCAGAACTCAAAGCAGTCATATGTGCATGTGAATTGCTCGCAGGCCAAGATATAAATATATACACAGACAGCCAGTATGTTTTTTCAGCAGTTCACCACTTTGCAAAAATTTGGCAGAACAGAGGAGTGATTACATCTACTGGACACCCAGTACAACATGGAAGTCTTCTGAAAACACTATTAGATGTAATAATATTGCCAAAACAGTTAGCATTATAAAAATGTGCTTTTTATTGATCACTAAGCAATCTACATGTCTACGTGACTTTTCACCTAATAACTTTTGTGATGAACTTATTCAGCTACTAACCACTTCCTGTTTTCAGAGAACAGTTAGATGTAGAGAAGAGAAACCTCAAGGTCAAGGTCAAGGTTCTTTATTTGTCACATGCATAGTTATACAAGTATAACACACAGTGACACAGTGAAATGTAGCCTGACACGCTCCTCGACATGTGCAAAAAAAT